CCAAAACTTCTTCAAATCGCCAAAAATACAATGCTCTATTTTCTATCTCTAATATTTCTAAGATAGCAGATTTTTGCGTACCATTTTTTAAAGTTTTTGAAAAAAAAGTTGATACATGTTGATGGTTTTTCTTTTCAACTGGCTGACAAGAAAATGTACCAAATCCCCATTGTAAATGAATATCTAGAAATTCTGGAACATGATAGATTAGAACATGTATATAAGGAGTTATATCACTTGGTGTGTATAATCCTTTATCTATTGTATTAGTACCAGGAATAATTTGGGAAGGTGTTAAAAATATACTTAGCCATTCACGAGCTTTGATACGGAATATATTTCCTGTTAATTTATTCTGATCTAGCATTTTATAAAGTTCACTAAATCCTGACCAGAGTTTTCGAACTTTTGTAGCATATGCTTGTGGTAACATTATACTTAGATTAAAGTTTTCTATTACTTTTAATTTGTCCGGGCCTATTAAAGAGGTAAATTTCTATTTTTTCGTCTCTTGATCTTTCCAGAAATTAAATTTTACACCAATAACCCTCATTTCGTTGCATATTAACTCCCTCATTTTATCTATGAAATGACCATTATTTTTGCATTCATTTAGAGCCAACTCCCACAAATGATCGGTTATACGTAGCATTAGGTGCAGTTGATTCACTACATAATGAGTCATTGAAATCATATCCAAGATAGGTGAATAAATATGACCTGGGAACTTTCGATAATCTTTTTTGATTTGATCGATTTTTTTTGTTATTAGCCAATTTTGGTTTAAGTCGCTTATTAAATCTTTGGTACAAAAACACCACGGGCAAAAATTAAATGCATTAGGCACATTAAAACCTAATATTATTGCCAGAAATTTCCAATCAGATGAAAAAAAAACTTCAATTTCCCATCGTCTATAATCAGTATCAATAAAACCATTTTCATGCAATTCTCGTAATTTATGACGAATTGGCTCTAAAGCAGTTTTGAGTGAAGTATAATTTTCGGTTCCAGAAAATAATAAAATTGTATAATGCCTTTCTGGTTTCATTAGATTTTTTTGGTCATTAAGAATTGCTAGAGTTACTATTATATGTTTTATTTTTCTTTCAACGTTTCTTCCATCGTCTGAGATTCTCAAATATATTATAGGGGTTTCATAGCTAAGAACTTTATTTGCTACAAGTTTTGGAACGATAAACCGAAGAATTGCAGATATATTGCGATAAGCGCCTTTTTTTAATGTGATTGCAATTACTTCATTGTCCAAGTCACTTCCACTATCTGAGTCACTTTCACTATCTGAGTTACTTTTGCTATCCGAATCACTATTTGTTTGTGCATTCATATCAAATACTAGCAATGGAATGTGGTTTTGCATTATTTCATTTACATTGTTCTTTTCTTTACTGACTAGCTATTCTTTTGGCAAATCCTGTGAAGCAGTTGTCAAAGCTCTATATCCCCTTCTTGAAATATTAGATTGATCCATTATTTGAACGATTTTTTGTGCTTTTTTCTCTTCTAATTGTCGATCTTCTTCAAACTTTATTAACCATGGTTGTTCGTCTACTTCTAATACTAATTCTTTGAGTTTAGAATTATCTACTGAATGCCAAATTTTTAATTTTTTTTTCTCAAAATTATTGAATAAACTTTCACTCGCTTTTTTAATTTTATTTCTATGCGAAGAATTACTAAGATCACTAAGAGGTTTAATACATCGTGGTTAACTTTTTTTTGGCATAGCTTTAGTTAATTCTTCATACAATTGTAGCCCAAAAACAAGTATTCCAGAAATTGCTGTTTTTCTTTCTGAATATCGTATATTACAATATTTATTAGATGCATCCGAAGGAGAGATTTGTGAAACTATTACGTAGTTTTGTT